CATCTGGTTGCAGGGTTGGATTTTATGAAATTCCCTGAGGTCTCCAAGCCTTGATTCACATTATGTCTCTACTGCGATAGCAATTCAACCATTTGGAGCCTGGTTGGTTTTTATTTACTGGAATGAGTGCTGAACAAACTTATCGATCACCAATCCAATTTGGTTATCTTGTATTACTGAAATAATTCTGCCAAGTAAAATATCCAATCCTACTTATGATGATGGTAGAATTGGAGTGCTTACAGAGCAGAGGAGATGAACCGTTAACTTGATCAGCTGTATAAACAAAGTTTCTGACCAGTGGAAAATGTTAGTCAATATCCAAGGCAAGGGAAGGGCTTTAGATGAAAAATCAGAGAGGCTGCTAATGGAATATAACATGTCTCTAGACCCAGAGGGGAAAATAGACGGAAGGTTCCTACTCATGGTTAGTTTAAGGATCAGTAAAAGCCTTTGAGTTTGATGTGGCATCAGGCTGAAACACGATGGAGGGCATGCATCAGAGTGAGGCATTTTCTCATCTGCCTGTCCTGTTTCTGTAGTTGTGTTGATTCTGAGTTTGAGTCATTATGTTTAGAAAGATGTGTTGTTCATTGCTGGAGCCATATCAGATTTAGCAAGGAAAGTACAGAATGTAATAAACATCTTTCTGAATCCTATTATTTTAGAGATGTCCAAAAATTGTGAGGACTTGAGTATTTCTAACAAAGTTATTCACATTATATACATCAATCTAATTCGGTTGGAAAATTCTGCAAACCTGAATGATTCTACAGAAGGCTACATACAATTTTGGAGTAAGTTCTGTTGCTATGAAAATACCAGATTTATTAGACTATACACATTTAGCTTACTTGCCGGTTACCATATGTATTTATAACAAATTATTTATAGCTAAGAGTGTAAGCTTTTTGAGAGTAGGGCCTCTGTCTCCATCTTATTTGTGTCACCAAATCTCACACAGTCCTATCACATGATAGTCAATTTAATGAATTTGTATTTAATGAATGATATGGTGGCTTATATATTAACTGACAAATCTTTCCTTAGCCCTCTTGTCTAAAGCACTAAATTAAGAGATGAACTAGATGTAAAATAAGTCTCACAGTAGTTGTGAAGATTAGTCTGACAGGGAAGTTACTACAATCAATCACTTCCAAGGAGAGTCCATGAATTAGCCCTGAGCCCACACAGCTCAGATGTGGCATTGTAGTATTTAAATTTTTTTTAAAACTCAGTTTTGTAGCCACTTCTCTTATTTACCCAAGGTAGTCTAAATATGTGATGAAACCGTTTTAAAATTAGAGATTTAAATTTAAAAATATTTTTTTTATTTTTATTTTTTTTTTCAACGTTTATTTATTTTTGGGACAGAGAGAGACAGAGCATGAACGGGGGAGGAGCAGAGAGAGAGGGAGACACAGAATCGGAAACAGGCTCCAGGCTCTGAGCCATCAGCCCAGAGCCCGACGCGGGGCTCGAACTCACGGACCGCGAGATGGTGACCTGGCTGAAGTCGGACGCTTAACCGACTGCGCCACCCAGGCGCCCCATAAATTAAAAAATATTTTTAATTAAAAATATTTTTGACAATCAATAGCATATACATATGACAATTCTTTCCCCAAATATTGTCTCCCTTCTTTTCTTTTCCAAGCATTTTCACAGATACACAGTCACTGCAGCTCTTCTATCCCTTACCCACTCTTGCTCTTTATGATATCGTTTAAACTAGTTCCTTCTTTAAATTTACTAACTAGATTCTCAACAACAGAAAAAGATTCTGGAAGCTAACTTTACAATAAATAATCCCTTCCTGCTCAGAAAAAGTGAGGAAGAGGCAAAAATTGTGTCTCATGCATAGATAATTTTTGTCCTTATAACACAAGCAATATGCCTAATTGCTTCCTGGAGGTTTCTTGGACTCAAAATAACATGAATAGCCATGCAGCCTGAAACTTCATGAGATTCTGGTTTAGCAAATCACGATAGGCACAAGTGTGCATATTGCTAAGTCACTAAGTCACAACTTTCTGTTTTGACATAGGAAGTAGTAGAGATCGGAGGATCAGGAGTAGGAAAGGCATGGAGAATGAACCATGGAACTGGGAGGCTGCCCCAGGACCACAGAACCCTTTCCTGAGCTTACATGATGCTAGCTAGAGTAGACTTGCTTTTGGCATATGCTTTCCTGTCCTACGTTTATCTCATTCTAGGCTTGAGATTTTAACACATCCACTCTGGCTCTTTCCCTAGCATTAAAAAAAAAAAAAAAAAAAAAAAAAAAAAAAGAAAAAAAAGAAAAAAAAATTAAAAGAGAACAGAAATTATTAAAGCTCTTGCTATAAGAGATTTAAACATTACTACTCTCCATTTTCATTTTTCACCTTAATATCACCATTTGCTATATGATCTTAGAGACTGATAAAACAAAGCAAACTACATTAGTTTGGCTTTCCCTAACTCTTGTTTTCCTCTGACAATAAATCTTGGTGCTATGAGTTGTGCTTGGTGTTAACTCTGTCTGGGTACAGACGATGCCGATCAATCAGATCCTTTAAGAAAAGTGGTTCTTAACCGGGGCGGTTTTTCCCCCAAGAGAGAACAATTGTCAATGCCCGAAGACACTTTTGGTTTTAGAGCTGGAAGGCAATGTTACTGGCTTCTCATGAGTGAAAGCCAAGGATACTGCTAAACATCCTACAATGCACAAGACTGTTCCTCCGCAACCACAAAGAATGATCCCATCCCGAATGTCAATAGTGACAATCGGTTGGAAATCCTGCTTTAGCAGTACTTGATTCAGTAGCATCATGAATATACTCTCTGGGCTCTGGGTGCAGCCATGCATGCTTTATGGGCAGAAATAGGTTCTACATTCAGCTATTATAGAGGGGTCACCTCTAAGAAGCAGGTTCTTCTTAAAATTCCGAGTCAATCAAAGTGTTTCTCATCTGCTGTTAGTGCCTTGTAATCTCTACTGTCGGTCACTCCTTTCATATACGAAAAGTTTTTTTAAAGTTGTAACAGGCCACTTATTTATTTACACATAGTGTTTTCATTAAAATACTTACCCTGTGTTGGTCAGTGCTATTCAGGAGGGAATTTCCTATCTTAATGTGAACTCATTTGCCTCATGAACCATTATAAAAGCAACCATTTCTGAAGTTAAACAACTTAGAGCATCCTATCTCGAGTTGCCCCTTTGGGAAGCAGCTCCATTGCAAGGACACACATGGAACAGGGAATATCTGCCCTTTAGGTTAGTGCTGTCATAAGCCTTAGGTGAGAGGAAACCTGCCTTAGGCCCTGAGCTTTAGAAGGTGCCCCCTGGACCTTGTCCACAGGGCCATGGGAATGTGCCCATCTGAAGCCTATGCCATGTCTCCTTCTAGACCATACTCTGGGGATCAAGGACCTTGGAATTCTCTGTCCAAATAACTCTGAACCCACCTTCAGTACCTCAGTACCTGAATCAACTTGTTATAGTCTGTTCTCCTGTGAAAACACATGCACAGACATATGCATTACAAGGCCTGAGCAGGGGCAGCTGTTGGGATAATGGACTCAGACCAGGGCTTTGTCTATAGTGGACATGAGGCTGTTCACAGTATGGAACAGCATTGGGTGTGTGAAAATAACAGAGGGGGACTGGAGACCAGGTCCCAGGGGTCAAGCCTTGCTTCCCCATGGTCTGATGCTTAACTAGAATGTAAGATGTTACAAAGATGGTCAAATTAGGAGGTGAAAGTCTTTTATTCAATAGTCAGCTGGGTTATAACTTAGATATTTGGACGTACGGTACATGGGTCTTCATTTTAACAGTTGCTCCAAGTCAAGGGTAGATTTGATTTGAGGGGGAAAAATAGCACTGTTTTTTTTTGTTTGTTTGTTTGTTTTGTTTTGTTTTGTTTTGTTTTGTTTTGTTTTTCTGTGTAGAACTCCTCAGGATTCAGGGCATACCTCTCCCAAGTGGAATCACGCAGACTGCTCTAGAAACCTCAGTTTCAGCCGCTCCCCAAGAATATTGCTTACCTTTTGTGGACTTTATTTTATGTAGTCTCAATGACCAGCCAGCCCATCTTAAACTTACTGGCATTTTTGTGTGATGGGCAGCAGATTAACAAGCAGAAAATTCTATTTCCATGATTACTTTGCTGAGTCAGAGCTAACAGAAGGAAAGAACCAGAGGGTAGGTAAAAAGCTTGTACGGACACAGGAATACGGAGAGGAGAGGGGTCCAGAGAAAGATGTTCCTTTGGGAAGGGAGCACTCTGAGCAGTGAGGGTGACAAAACTGGACACTTACCAAAAATGGCCAGGAAATAGGAGGAGGACTTGGAAGGAAGAATGGGCGCCAAAAAGAAAGAAAAAAAGGTACAAAGCTAAACTACATTTCTTTTCCTTCCCTCCCGTTCATTGTTTCAGACGTCTGTAAAAAGAGAACACTTAACTTCTGGCTCCATTTAGCAGCAATTTGGACATTGTGCAGGCCCCTGATCATCACGTTTGAGAAATGGGGTCCCCCTCCTTGTCCCAGTTCTACCCTGAGATCCCGAAAAAGGGATGCTATGCCTGCATCCTCTATGGCAGAAAATCCCAGGACGTCTCTCATTTCTTCCCTCGCAGGAGGAGGCACTGACTTAGCTCCAAGGAGAGGGTTATAAACTGTGGCTCCCATAGACCCTGTTCTTTGTCACTCAGATGGAAGGTTCAGACTAGAGGGTCAAGGGAGGAGAGCCCTGAGTAAGACCTCTGTTTAAAATGAACAAAGGCCTAATTTCAAGATACTTGGGGACCTCTCCTCCAGAAACAAGACAACGCCCAGAGGCTGGCAGTTACTGGAGCAGTCTTGAACTATAGACACTCAATGGAGTTACTCACTGGGGCTCCCGCCCCCATTGAAGTCCTGGGAGCCAATTCCACAGCCCAGCCAAAGGCAAGACTTGGCTGCCTATGTGATTAATTGCCTTTGTTCCCTCACAAAGAGAGTGTACCCGCAACAATGGGCAGTAGGAGGGGAGTGGAGTGGCCTCAACAGAGAGGCCCCTCTTCCTCCCTCAATTCCAGGGTGTGCCTGAGAGAGAGCTTCTGTGCTTCGCTCCAAAAAAAAGGTATCTTTCCAAGAGGAAATTATAGAGCTCAGAAAGTTAGTCATTAATGTAATGGTCTGAATCTACAATGAGAAAAAGATTGAAGCTGACATGATTTTTATCTTTGATATTATAGCTTCTGAAGTTGAGAAGTAATTACGTATGTTAATATTACATCCATTCGATATTCAGTGAATTTTTTTACAACTCTTTCTTAATTAATCTTCCTTTTCTCCCCCTCTCTGCTCACAGTGCTGGCAAACAGTCCTGAAATTGATCAGGGCTGATGTGAAAAGAATGCAGTGAGGAATCAGAAAGATCTAGGTTTGAATTTAGACGGATGCTTGACTTTAGGCATTTAGTAAATAAATAATACAAATAATAACTAATGCCTTTTGAAAATGCGATGTCATACCAGGCACTATGTAAAGATTTAACACACACATCAGTTCACTGAATCCTCACAAAACCTTATGGGAGATGAATTATCCTTATGTCCATTTTAGAGATGAGGAAACTGAGGTTTGTCGGTGTACAGGCTGAGCCCCTGGCTGGAACTGCTTGCACACAGCACACGGGCCTCTGAGGATGCCACCATTTCAGCTCTACTTTGGGAGATGGTGGTGAAGGTGAAGGTAGGGTGTGGTGAATTGGGGGTAGAAATAGTAACTGTCACTGCCTCAAATCATACTACTTTCTCCATCACACCCCTTGTGTCTTAACAGGCCAGGGCTACTGCATATCCCAGGCTTCTTCCCTACCTCTAACCCCCCAAGGACCCAGTAGCAGAAAGCATCAGAAAAGCCATAACAAATCTCTCTCTGCTCTTCCCTCCTCAGCAGAGGCCAGGAGTCCCAGAGAGCGGGAGAGAATTACAAAAGCAAGGAAGCCGCAGCCACTGCCCTTCAGCTTAAAATACAGACACATCAAAGAGACACCATGTGTAAATCACAAAGAACCAGGCCACTGTCCTCACTGTTTCAATTCTCTGGCAAACCTGGGGCTCTGAGATGCCAATTGCTGTATCTCGCATTCCTGGAGGATCTTTGAGTGCCTGCCCTTTGATATTTACCAATAAGAATAGAGTTATGAAGATGGATTAAGATTACATATATACATGATTCCCACTATTGGGCCCAGAAGTCATTTAATATCATCTGTTATCTCTATCATTGTCATTGGGTCTGGAAGCTGAGGAGGATTTGGATGAATGGAGAAGGCGAGTTTCAGGGGGATGGAGCAGAGGAAGTAAAGATTTAGAAGCATAAGCATTTGCTATAGGATACCTATGGTAATTGACCAATTCACAGATTTAGTTAATTTATCATTTCATCCAACAAATATTTATTGAGCACCTACTATACTCCAGACCCTGTGCTAAGCAATGAACAGGGAGATAAAACAATTGAGAGCCCCACACTCAAAAGGCGTAATCATCTTGGGAAGACAGATATTCACTAAATCCAACAGACAAATTAGTATATGATTCTGAATTGTGAGTGGTAAGTGCTGTGAAGGGAATCTCACCTGGGTCTATAAGAAAATAAGGGAACAATCTATAATGGGTGTGCATTCAGGTAGGTCAAGGATGACATTCCCGAGCAGGGGTCTTAGGAGCTGAAGCCTGAAGGAAGAGCAGGAGTCCATGAGGCAATGAATTGGGGGAAGAGTGTTCAAGGCCTAGGGAACACCCTGTGCAAAATTGCTAGGTCAGGAAGGATCGGGCCACCAGAGGATGGGGAAGGGACAGGCAGACCTCTGCTTGACCCTCAGCAGGCTCAGACACCAAACAAAACCTATCACCTTTTCCTTACCTTTCCAAGTTCTGCTTCTCACCCCCAGCACCCACCTGTGTCACTCCCCAAGGCTTTGTGGATTTGGTCTTCTCTCCTCTGAAGACAAGCATCTTAAGAGGCTTGTGGTCTTCCACATACTTAGGAGGCCAGACAGAACACAAACTCCCTAAGACATAACGTTGCTTTCTCTACTCACCTTGGATGTATAATTGTAAACTGCAAAAAGCACTATGCAGGGGGAGTTCCCTTCAGATTTCTGCAGACCCACTGCTGGTCCTCACCCACTGGGCTTGGCACTGGAGAAGGCTTATGTGCATTTGGTATTGATCTTTAGTTGCCAGCACTGACCATTACTGCCTTTTGCTCTCCTTTCTGTGGCTTATTAGAAGAAAGCAGACATGTCCGGTGGACAAAGGAGGCAAATAATGAAAATGTTTCAATACGTTCTCAACTGCCGATACACAGACGATAGTCACTTTCCAGATTATCTATGTATAAACCTGGATTTTCTTTATATACAATTTGAAGACAATCTCTCTCCCTCTTTCTCTCTCTTACTTTTTGGAAAATGCTTTAAGGGATTAAATAACTCTAAAATCTTTACAATCAATGGGTAGAGGGTCACTTGAGCAACACGGTGTCTTGTGAACAGGCTAGAGAGGAGGAGTTGTAACAGGTGATAGAATGGTGAAGGGTGGCTGTTTTGCTTTGCAAGAGCTGGGTGAAAAGTGGCGCAAGGGCGGGGGGGAGCATATGGGGAACCACTAGGGCCACAAACAACTGTCACATCATGACCTTTAACTTTTGACCACGAAAATACCTCCTGAGCATTTCTACTTTTATTGCACAAGAAAAGCTTGAATACACCTAATTTTAAAAGATTTGGGGTGCCTGGGTGGCTCAGTCGGTTAAACATCTGACTTTGGCTCAGGTCATGATGTCGCGGTTCATGGGTTCGAGCCCTGCAAATGGGCCCTGTGCTGACAGCACAGAGCCTGGAACCCACTTCGAGTTCTGTGTCTCCCGATCCCTCTGCCCCTCAGCTGCTCACGCTCTGTTTCTGTCTCTCTCTCTCTCTCTCTCTCTCTCTCTCTCTCTCTCTCAAAAATAAACATTAAAAAAAAATATTTTTAAGATTTGGGTAATCCAGGAGTAGTGACAATAAAATGTGAAATTATCTCTCTTCCTGCTCCCCTCCCATTAAGCTCACTGCTCACCTGGGAGAATCATGGTCAGTCCCTTTGATGCATGTTCACACCTACATATGTACATACACATGTATGTCATGAATACAAACGTCCCTTTCTCAGTTGAAATATCTGGGAGAGTTTACCAAGTACATGGAGATCTATCACATGCTTTGTAATAGCAACCTGGAATAGAGGTGTCCCCATAGTGCTGAGTAGATTGCTGGGATCAGACCTGGACAGAGATAAGGACAGAGCCAGGGGCAGAAGGCAGGGCTTTGCCAGTGAATGACGAGAATTCATGATCTTTCCATTTATTTCCATTTTTATTAGACCAAGCTGTATTAGAATAACATCTCCACTTTAGTATTTGCATACGGTATTGTTTAAACATTTACAAAGTAGGGACTGTTATTATTCCCATTTTGTAGATGGTGAAATTGAGGTTCATTTCAGGAATTATGGAACTTGCTGGAAGTCATGCAGCTACTAAGTGATAGAGACATTAGTCTGAGGTAAGTCTTTGTATCTCTGATGTCCATGCCTTAACCATGACACTTGATCCCTACCTTATAATCCTTTCCACGTCATGGAGGCTTTTTAAAAAGTGAATTTTCATTTTGGTCCCCAAAGACTATTTCAAGTAGGTGAACCAGGTCTGTCTAGAGCCACAAACCTGACTGGTTTATTCCCTTGCCTGCAAAGCCCACAATCCTATGCATTCTGCAAACTCTGAGAACTCACACAGCTGCCCTTATGGCCCCCTGCCCCTGGTGACTCCGCAGGGAGATGTCCAGCCAGCCAACAAGCACCAGAGAGGCAGATTCATTGTTGGGAAAGGTGATCTGAGATGAGGTGGTGGCAGTCAGTGTGTGGATGAGGAGGTAATGCACCCACCAAATGCAGTTAATGGAAACTGCATTCATTAGAATGCTGTAATTGGTTCCTGCAGGGCATTCGAGGTTAGTGACACAGGAGAAAAAGAGGAGGGGCTGCGTGCGTGTGTGTGTGTGTGTGTGTGTGTGTGTGTGTGTGTGTGTGTGCACTGTATGGATTTTGTTTTCTTTTTTAGCTTTTTTCCTCCAGGAGAGAATTTCAACCTGCCTGCCTCACGTCAGGCTCTGCGTTTGGCAGATGTGAGGTCTTCTGAGACCGGCAATCACCACCTTGCCCAGTTCTGTGTCCCTCTTTCTCTCATCCACCCTTCATCAGGAGCCTGCCTGTGAGTCTCATCCCACCTTTCTGGCCAGATAAGAAAGCTACTGATTAGCAAATTTACAGAAAGGGGTTGGAACTTGGTATGACACTCCTCACAGACTGAATGAGGCAGATAGGATTTTTCAAAGAACCTCACGTGAAAGGCAAGGCTTAGCCCCAGTCATATGACCCAAATGGGGGATCTGCAGGTATCAGTGAAATGGCAAGCCATCAGCTAGATAATAGATAACACTTTGTGCCACCCACATATAAAGCTAGACATTGCCATCAGGGTGCCAGAATGTTCCCACTTACTTCTGGGGTGAAGAAAGGAGGGGCGGTATCGTCTCACCCTTAGGGTTGGATTCTTTTTTTGAACAACCATACTATTAGTAGGTCAACACAAAAGGTGATCTCCTGATACTAAATTTAGCACTCCCAGTATGTCCAAACCTGCCTTTCTGAAAAACTTGATAGAGGGGATTATGATTTCTATACTCAGAAGCCAGGAAATTTCTGAGGAGCTGAAAATGTTCTACCTCTTGATCTGAGTGTGGTTCCATGGTTTTAAGCACAGTACAATTCATCAAGTCATACACTTAAGATCAGTGCATGTTACATTTCTTATATGTCTCAACTTACAAAGTAAAAAATAAATATTAGTCCACTGCCAAAAACATGAGTTCTCAAAATGTTATCTGTACACCAAATTTTCCTGAAACCCTCTCTATTCGCCTACATCCTCTCGCTACCTAGCCAAATCCTGGGCTTTTATTAAGGGCCAGGTGAAGATAAGCTTTCTAAAGAAAACCTAACCTTGGTTGCCCAAACCACATTGATTCATGTTTTCTCTTTACGGACCTACTATCAGAACTGGGGACAGGTCCAAGCTTATGGGATCTGAGGTTTACACAATATGGGGATTTCTTTATAAAATAAAAATTACAAACTTATGAATACAAATTAAATTACAAAATTTAGTTACAAAAAAGGAGACTAGAGATTTAAGGTCCCTTTTCCCCTGTGAGCTCTTTATACAATTTACCATCAGTGTTCATATAATAAAGCTACCTGCTTGCAACTCAGGTTGAGCTCTGCGTCTAGAACTCTCCTCACCTCCTGACCACCCCCGGAATGCGTACGGGGCAGGCAAGTGAGAGGAACTCTCGGAAGCCCAGGCTTCATCACTTTGCAGTAAATCTGGTCCAGGTCAGCACGTACATGTGAACATTTCACTTCAGCCTAGTCTGAGTAGAAACTTTGTTTCCTGCACACATGGTCAGCCTCCCTGGGTGGACTATAAAATCCTTCAGGGCAAAACCACAGTTTCACATTGTTTTCAAGACTCTCACCCTGCACACGCCAGTGCCTTTTCTAGGAAGGGCTCGCCATACTGTTGAAATATTTTCTAGGAAGGGCTCGCCATACTGTTGAAATATCGTTTGGGAGAGGGGAAAGGGACTCCCAAAGACAGGTGGTAGTGATAATGGGGAATGATAAGTCATTAGTTGGATTAAGTGGATTCTTTCCATGCTCCCACTATCCAGGTCCTGAATATTCGCCCAGCCCTACACTGAGCCAAACATCTTTTAAAAATTGGCTTGACTGAAAATTAACCTCAGGCCATATGGAAAGTAAGAGATGGTCTGGCTTGGCTCAGACAGGTAAAGTCATTTCTCTAGGCTGCCTGCACTTCTGCACGACATGAAGGATTCTACAGAGGAGAAGAAAGAAAAGAGGAAATAATGGAGAGAGAGAGAGAGAGAGAGAGAGAGAGAGAGAGAGAGAGAGAGAGAAGGAAGAGAAAGAGGGAGAAAGAAGATGAGAAAGAAAGGAAGGGTCTTGTAAAAACAAAAAAGTAGGAGATTAATGGAAAAAGAATACTTAATAAAGCTCTCTTGGGCTCACACTGTCTTTTTTTTCTTTCTTCCTTTTTTTTTTTTTTTTTCTTTTTTGAGGCTGCTGTATTAAATTAAAGTCATACATAGGTTTCAAAGGAAATCACATTTCTGCAGTCTGGTGAACCCACCTGACAATGCACGCTAACAGAATTGTAAATGTAAAGGGTAATGCTTGTCAGTGGCTGACAGTTCTAAATGGCCTTTTAGTTCAGTACGCAGAGCTGTCATAAAAAAACATAAAAATGCATATGCAGACAGCTGAAACTGCTATGCACATCATTATCTGCAAATGGTATAAGTATCCTGAACAAAAGGCCTTCCAGTTTAAGGACATGCATAAGACATTTCTCTGCCTCCAGCTTTAAAACAAAGTGCTGTCAAGAAAACAAGATTCCCAGGGCCAGAACTGAGGTTTTTCTGTCAATCAGTGAGGTGCTACATTTGTACATATTTTTCTGACCCTGCATATGAGAAGAGCATTCCTAACAGATGTGTATTTAACTTCTGGCAGCTACATCTGTTTCTTCTCCATCTTCCTTCTTATTTCTTTATCATTGTTCTAACAGACCGTTGCACGGTGCGTCTTATTGTGTACTTGTTCATCCTACCCCTATCTTTGCTTTTTTCTCTTCATTTCCTCCAGCTCTTCTTTTCTCTAAAGAATTGATTTCTTTCTTCTTTCCTTTGTAATTTGGGAAAGTCAAGGGAGCTAAACTTTGGGACCTTGGTGATCAAATTGGTGGAGATATTTGTCTTTCCTTCCCCAAGCAATGATACCGTCTGCCCCTTTAAGATCGCAAGTTGCTTGAGGGCAAAGAAAATTTTTAGAACATAATCATTCTGAAACCTGGTTGCGTGTCAGAATCACATGAAGAACTTTGCAAACTTCTCATTTCCTGAAACCCCCCAAAGTGATCCTCCGAATCAGAGTCTCTAGGGTTGGGTCCAGGACATTTGTGTTTTTAACAGACATCCTGGTGGTTACCATTTTTCATGCATTCAAACGTGCATCAGACCAATACTTATTGGGCATGCACCCTTGTGGCAGTCAGTGTTCTAAGCACCAGGCATGTCTGTGTGGATGGAAAGACAAATTCCCTGACCCCTAACAGCTTGCATTCTATTCAGCGAGACAGGTCAATAAACAAATACATGTATAACTATGTTTGGTGCAGAGAGAGACAAATATTTGAAGAACATAAAATGGGCAATGGAGCGGAGAGGGGCAGGAGCCGGGCTAAACGATTTACATGTGGAGGTCAGCAAGCTCTTCCTGAGGAGATGACAGAGGATCTGGGAACTATATGGTGAGGAGTCAGCCATGAGAAGATCTGAGGAAGAAGTTGCCTCATCTTATTCTTGCAACAGAATAGAAAATATTACTAAAGTAGCCAAACTGAGACTGACACCTCTGTGCCAAGTGAGATGTAGGCGAATCAAGCCCAAGCCTCACCCCTGTTTCCACATCTATCCAAATCCTGCCCAAACTTGGGGTCACCCTGAAGTATAAACTTCATCTGAGAGGCATCCATCAGCACATCTGTCCACCCAATGTATGTGGAGGATGTATACTAATACAGGTCTGTGTAGGACTTTCTATAATAAGTTCCCTAATCGAGCTCAATTTGAACGCCATTATTTCTGAATTCTTAGAATGTGGACCACAAAAACCAATTTCCTATCAGGTTAAATGTATGGGTAAGCCTTTTAAATAAGACTTTACATTTCTCAGGCTAGGGGCCATATTTTACAACTTCACTGTTTCTGGCCCACTGAGTCACTGTTTCTGGCCCGCTCATCTTTCATGAGCTTTTAAGTTTTAAGTCGAAGGCTTAAAATCTCCAGATGAATTTCAAAGAGAGATAGTGACCTTTAATAGTGGTTTTCCCCCAGGAGCGCCTGGACAGCTAAGTCAGTTGAGCGTCCGACTCTTGATTTTGACTCAGGTCGTGATCCCAGGGTCATGGGATCCAGCCCTGTGTTGGGCTCTGTGCCTGGCATGAAGCCTTCTTGAGATTCTCTCTCTCTCTCACTCTCTCTCTGTCTCTCTCTCTCTCTGTCTCTCCCCCCACACCCTCTGACCCTCTCTATCGTTCTCTCTCTCTCTCTCTCTCTCAAATAAATTTAAAAAAATAATGATTTCCCCCCAGTGAGCAATGACGACTCCATTGTTGGGCATAAACTGAAATGCAGAACTTGGAAGACAGTATGGCCAATTGACTGAAAAGATGGGCCCTGGAGCAAGAGATTCACTAGCTGTGAGAATGGACAAACCATGAAGCCTTGGTTCACTCAACTTAAAAACGGTGATAACAGTAAGACTTACATGAGCTAGTTATTGTGAAGGTTAACTGAAATAAGTATGCATGATGCTTAATACACTGTCACATACAGTAGACACTTAATAAATGCTATCA